CGGTTAGTCGCTGGTTTCCCACCGCGGCGGCCCGGGTTCCATCCCGGGTCTGGTCAAGTGGGATTTGTGGTGGACAAAGTGGCGCTGGGGCAGGTTTTCTCCGAGTACTTCGGTTTCCCCTGCCAATCTTCATTCCACCAATTGCTCCACAATCACCCTCACCTATCATCTGGGGCTGGTACAATAGGCCAGAAGTAGCCTCAGTACAAGGGACTTAGTCCCACCCCACTAGCAATAAAATATATATATATATAATACATATACATATATATAATATACATAATGTTAAAATTATTTAGCAAAGACAGGTTATTATTTTAGTATTATTAGTATTAGAGGGGGTGGGTTTCCCCATACACTTAGACCACTGATTGGTCCATTGTGCGCCCCACTTTAATTTCTACTGTCTCAATATCCTACCGATACTGGTGCGTGCTATCAGCCCCGTTCAGCCAACGAGGTCGGCCCTCGGTACCTGATATTTCCCCCATCTACCAGAGGCATTGGAAACTACTTGGTCGGGAAATTTGTCTCCTAGAGACATGAGGATCTTTTACGTGCCGTAAATCTACGACAAGGGATCCACGGCTTAAAGTCCCACCCGGAGGACTTGTTCCCTGAATTTTTCCACCCTTAAAAATTCCACCTCCGCCGGGTTTGAACCCGCGTACCTTGAGTCATGAGGTGTGAACGTTACCCCTAGACTACGAGGCCGCTTAGCAAAGACAGGTTACTTATTATCATATAAATACAAAAAAGCTGTCATCTAACTAACTAAATAAATGGAGTGAAGCCCTTCTTGAGAAGTTGCCTGTTGTGCAGCTACTCAAGAACTTCCCAGCATTCTGTGGCACCGGGAGATTAATTACCGTGTTCACAAGAGCCCTCCACTGGTCCCTACCTTCAGTCAGTTCAATCCGGTCTGTAACACCTCATTCTCTTTAACATATATTTTTAATATTTTCAATTCATTTACATCTCGGTCTTCCTAATGGCCCTTTCCTTCTAAATTTCCCACCAATATCCTATATGCATCCCTCTTGTCACCCTTCGTGCTCTAACTCTAACGCCAGCGACTTCTCAGTATTATGTATGACATCCTATCACTAACAAACTCTGTCCTCTTAACTGCTAATAAGATTCTTATGTACCAGGAAAACCTGTACCTAATTCATGATTCTCGTTGCCTTTTCCATAGGAACAATATAGTAGTATATTCGCCTACTGGTTCGGTGCTACCTCCGTTCCATCTGACCTCCCGTACTCACACTAAATCCAGCTTACATTGTGATACTCCTTTCACAATGTCATGTGCGAACCTGCCCTGTACAGACTTCCTACATTCCATGTATCAAATTTAATGTCTATTTTCTTTAGCTTAGATCCTCTATTCAAAGAATCCGTCCGAGTCCAAGGTCTACTGTGAAATTTATTTTTGACGCTGAGCAGCGGTTAGCCCCACGTCGATCCTCCTACAGCTGGAGGACCACCCTTTATCGGCTGTCTGCGGCTGCTTATTCAATATATTCTCAACTAGCTTCCATATATGGAGGCCGTTTCCTCCATCCAAAACCTGAGAACGCCCCATGTCGTAGTGACAAGGGACCCACCTAACGTGTCATAACTTCGTATCTACTCACAAGAATTGGAACTGTGTTAAAATCATGATTCTCCGATATAGTTTCCCAATTATATAATTAGCTACTTTATTAAATAGATAACGAAGATAAACATGAAGCATGTTTAAATTGGTAATTAATAATAATTCAACCAAAATCTTTATTTACGTGCTGAACTCAACATCCAGGTACCAATTACAGAGGCAGTACGGATAATTCAATTCGATTCTAATGCAAACTTAATAGCCCGAAGACCAGTCATAGACTGAGCACGAGTGAAGAAAAATTAACAAAATACATACAAAGGCCAAGAACGGTACAGCTCTACCTCCACTCTCAAATATTTACCCATGACGCGATGCTTAATTAATTAAGCACAGAAACGACTTTAATATAATTCCACCAACACAAATCAAAACTATCATTAAGAAGCGAGAAAAGTAAAATATATACATTTACGTACCATGAATACAATTAACATTTTAATGACTACGAGAATCATGGATAGTACAGAGTATGACAGAAAAAACAATTTAAATTTTTAAATATTTCAATACATAGTAATGATAAAGTTGTCCCTGTGCTTAACTAATTAAGTACTACGCCATGAAGGCGTATGGGGGAACGGATGTATAGAGCCACATTTTCTTGATCTCGGCCCTAGCTGGAGATGAGTTGTCAGCTTCACGCTCCTGCCGCTTTAACCCTGGGAAAAGAGCATCAGGTACCCATTGGATACGAGGCTGGGTGGGGCCCAGATTCGGTCCGGAGGACGTGGAGAAGAGAAAATTCTTGACCCTACTGGAACTCGAACTCCGACACCTCGGTCGTCCAGCCCCTAGCCAAATACTATGTACTAGTATATCAATACATTACTTTCTCACTCATGGAGCGGAGACTTTATTGAGGAGCCGCCAATTCTGCAGCTACTCAGGAATTTCCTAGCATTTTATGAAAGCCTAAGGTTCATTACCGTGTTCACAAGAGCCCTACAGTGGCCCCTATCCTGAGCCAGATCAATCCATTCCATACCGTCCCATTCTATCTCTCTAAGATCCATTTCAATAATGTCCAGCCACCTACTACTTGGTCTTCCCAGTGGTCTCTTTCCTTCTGGCTTCCCCACCAATATCCTATATGCATTCCTCTTCCCTCCAATTCGTGCTACA